ACAGGCTTCGCGATATCTCACGAAACACTGTTACGCTGCGACGCGCCTGGCATACATCTACCTAGGCCTGCGGCGCTGACACCTGAGTCGGGTAGTGAAAAACGTACACAAAGATACGGGCCTCCGTCCCGCCATTCGGCCTGTTACTTCGACTAAGCTTGCAGGGTTACGCATTCTTTCACTTATTTTCGTCAAATACCCTCTAGCGCCTTAACGGTTGCCTAGAGGGCTCTACTTTGATGAGTTATACTTTAGCAGTCAAAAAAAAAATATTTTTAAAAAACGTAATTTTTGGGACCTTTTGTTTTTGATTTTTCAAAAATCCAATTTTTGAGCTAGGATGCTTATCTTCGAACTCGATCTGTCTTTTTATGGCACAAAACGACCCTGAAAATCCCAGGTCGCTCGCGCACTTTGCTTTCGAGTTTTCGTGCGGAAAGATACACAGACAGACAGACAACGTTTTTTCCGACCAGACGGAGTAATAGGCTTCGCTAATCGCTCAGCCAGTAAAGTCTTAAACACAGATAAAAAAAAAAACAGAGACGTCCGCGAGTGCAGCTCTCCCTTCCACTGAAGGAAATACCGAAAGATTAATTTCGAATTCAGTAGAATAAAATTTATTTTTTACAACACTATGAGATAATAATAAAGTTACACAAGCTATATGTACGCCAGACCACGTCTCGCGTAAGAGCGAGTGTGTCCAGGCTGGATGTTCTTATCGCTAAGCTGCAGTTGGTGGTAGGAACTCTGTAGGACGTTTTCCAGGGTTGCCAACACAAACAAATTACTTAGTCAATGTACTTAATGTATTTAACATTTGAACATATTTACAATGTCAACAACGTAACCCCTCGTAACATATTTACAATATCAACAACGCCCCGCCCCGTCCCGTGAATACGTGATATATCTGTACGACTGCTGGGTCACCGCGAAAGGGGACGCTCGGACGCTCCCGTCCACTTGCCTTCGGAGGGGATCCCCATTCTCCTGGTGCCGCCATGGAGCTTTGCCGTGCAGACCGGCGGGTTGGGCCCTGCTGGGGGGGCGTGGCGCCCCGCGGAGGAGCCGCACCTTCACCGCCGATTGTCCCCGACATGCGTCCGCGCTTCCTGCTCGCTATCCTCCGCGACCTAAACAAAACAACAGAAACGGTCATAAGCAGGTGTTCTGCATGCCGCAGGCACTTCTAGAAAGTTACGGTGATGGGAGATTTATACACGTACTAGTTGAGTACTGGGTACTGGCTACGGCCTGACTGGGTACTGGCTACGGCCTGCTGGTAGCCTCCACTATACTTACGCTCGCTGTAGTGTCGAGTTGCAGAGTCTGCAGGAAGATGGCGCCAGTACGGTCCAAACCCTGAAGGATCCCTCGCCGTCCTCATCTCGAAATACGTGGAAGTACCCGCGCCGCACGTAGTCCAGGTCATCTTGGTTCGCAGGCACCGCCTGCGCAAAAGCGATGTAACGCCCGTCGGCCCTCGTGCACCTGAATTTGGCTACGGTGGATCCCAAGTCTGCCTGTGGGGTGCCTCGGATGCCAATTTCCTGGAAGGAATTCTGAAAGAGAAAAATGTGTATGAGTCTTGGGCAGTTCGTGATGCGACCAGCGGTATTGATATCTTACAATAATGGTAACTTACCTTGATTACAACTGTAGCGTAATCAGAGTCGGGCTGCAAGCCGACTGTGCCGTCCTGCCTGGCGGTCTCCACTAGCTCCACTGTGTACCCCCGATCGTGCACGGACGTGCCTTCGTACCTCTTCACTGATACGGGGAAGAAGGGGCTTCCAGCAGGCCACCTCGCATGCATCTCCTGAAAAAGAAGGTACAAAACAGTCAGTATTCAAAATCTTAGTTCCACTTTCGAGTAGGCTATGTCCAGAACGCCCCCCCC